ACAGGGGGTAGCCAAGAGAGAATGGTTGTTTTCTTTGTCATTGATGGAGCAATCAGCTACAACACTTTGCTAGGTAGACACTGGATACATGCTAATAAATGTGTACCATCCTCGCTGCACCAGTGTTTAATATTTTGGAACAAGGATGGTGTGGTCGAAGTGGTACGAGCTGACACCAAGCCATTTGCTATTGGAGCCAATATAGCGGAAGCTCCCCTTTACCATGAGGATTTTGGCCCTCTGGAGATCAAGACAGTGGATGGTGGATCGTGTACCATGTTGATGTCCATTGCAAAGGTGTTGAGCAAACAATGCGTTGACCCTCTATATGAAATCGTGAGACCATCAATGTTTGTAGCGGATGGTCCACCCCAAGCGGAGACATCATCCACAAATGAGTAAGCCACTCCATACAAGAGTGGCAGAGGAGGCCGAAATTATGGCCTTGCAAGAAAAGTTGATCATATACCAATGTGAACAAAGACTTATGTATATGGAGTCTGTGTTGATGGCTGACTGTGTACCTGATGATGAAGTATTGGTGGAAGAAAAGGATTCAAGTAAGGGTGGAGAAGATGGCAAACACATTGCCTCATGTGACGTGTTGGAGAAGATCAATCTTGGCACTAAGGACGATCCACGTCCAACTTTCATAAGTGCCATGAAGACCTAGTTGAAGTAGACATGGTTTCTAAGATGTGCAACATGACTGAGGAGTGAAATGGTCAGTATAGGTCTTTCTGAACTGGCCATTAAGATATTTTTGTTTTCTAGCTCGGAAGCATAATGGTTGCCGCTCAACTCGATAGTTTGGATGGTACCATCCAACCCTATGAAGGCTACCATCCCTTCTAGTACTCATGCGCGGTCAATAGTTGGAGTTTTGGGTCAAGACATGGTTACCTTGCCACCTTCTGGATAGATTGTACTATCCATGTTATTAGAGGCCAAGGATGGTTGGCCTTAAGCAATTTGTAACTCTGGTTTGGTTAACTGGTTACATGAATAGTGTTGTCAAAGCAAAATGATATCTTCCATGTTGTATATGGATAGTGTTTGAGTTTGGTCGAGTAACCGTCCATGATTGAGAGGAGGAGTACCCGAGCTTGGTGACTTGAGGTCGTACAGTAGCAAGAGCCTTGCCATAGGGAAGCTTCGAGCAGCTTTGGAGGTACGGTGATATTTTTTGAGTTGTGAATTATGGTGAATGGGAGCAAGAAAAGATTAATTGTGTCCTAATAGGAATGAGTTCCCTTTTGCTAGTAGGATATGGGTTAAGAGGTGTGTCCTACATGAAAAAGAATTTGTTTTCCTTATAAAAAAAAGGAAAAGGTAGGCCACATTATTTGGCTAAAAATTGTATTTTTAGCCGAGTTGGAGAGGGACACTCTCTTGTGTGTTTCGTTTACATGGCTAGGAAAAAAGTACATTCCTTATATGATTTGGAGACCTGGCTACATAAAGCCAATACCTGCTTCAAGTGGTTCCACATCTAGTACAGCTGGTGTCAACAACTTAGTTCATAAGAATTAGCTCTTATAAACTAAGTTGTGGGAGGCATTTGTTTACACCAAAATAATTTTCATTAATTATTACTTGTATGAACAGCTTGGTCAATTTAAGTAGTTGGTCCATGTGTATATGGATGGTCCAATTTATCAAGTTTAGCCGTAGTGTTGTTGGATGGTAGCTCAGGTGTGGATACCATCCAAATCTCATAATGGATGGTAGTGTCCAATAACATGGATACCATCCATATCCCATTATGGATAGTAGTGTCCAACGTCATGGATACCATCCAAATCCAATAATGGATGGTAGTATCCAACATCATGGATACCATCCAAATATAATAATGGATGGTAGTGTCCAACATCATGGATACAATCCATATCCAATAATGGATGGTAGTGTCCAACGTCATGGATACTATCCAACCCCACAAAGATGATGTCATCACATATCATGGACGGTATCCAAACTATAAAATGGATTGTGCCATCCATGCTAGGGTATGGTGACCATTTAATCTGGTGACCATCCATGGATTATTGTCTTAGTCAACATGGATGCCATCAAAGTTTTTTGGTGTATGGTGGCCATCCAATTGGCCATCCATGGTACGCATGGCTGTTTGTTTAGTGACATGATGACGTGTCGAAGGTGGTTACCAGAAGCAACAACTGATTTGCAAAGGACGCTCAGAGAGGAGTAACTGGATGCTACGTGGAGAAGAGATAGAAGGCGGTTAGAGGGTGAGGCACAACAAAACTTGTAGCAATACTATGGGGGGTGGACAGACGTACAAACCAAACCACAACAAGTCTCGTCAAAATTTATCTTTCTCTCTCTAGAATCGTAGTCGTAGCAGTAGCACCACGGACCCTCCAATGAGGCTTCTCTGTTAGTTGTAGTTAGTAGTTGCGGGGCTCTCAAGGAATCTCCATAGGAGTATAGGTAAAAAGTAGCCAGTTCCTTTGATGTATGCATCGAACACCCTCGTTCGAACAATGTTTGAAGAGGTATGGAGTTAGTAACATCGTTTTCTGTTTTCTTGAAGTCATGGTGCATTGATCACGTGAAATTCCACCTGAAAGAACCTCTCTTTTATTTACCCTTTTTTGTTGGAGTAGTGATTCGGGCCCAAATGTATACATTTTACCACTCATTTCTTATTCGTTTAGCTTAGCATTTCATCGTTCCTCGACATATTTCACGCTAGGTTATGCTTTTTTTGATACATTTCAGGTCCTAGCATGGGTGGAAGGGTCAAGGTCGAATTTTGGGATAATTGGAGGTCAAAAAGCGCAAAAACCAAAGAAAAGTCTGAAGTAGACCGTGACAATTGCCTCATAGCAGTGAAGTGAAGGAGTCCAGGAAACAGCCAAAGTTCACGGTCGGACAAGGCAGTTCAAGGTCTCCTTAGACCGTGAACATGGACCACAAACCGTGAACATCGAGCAGTCTAGTGAGGTTCCAAAGGTTACTGACGAGAAGGCAGTTCACGGTCTCTAAGAATTATGCATAATTGTGCTTAGCTCCCATAGGTTTGTGCATGTTGGTGCTAGCAATCTAATTAGCCACTTTAACTAGGTTAATTTAGGGCAAACCTCAATGTTGAATTAAGCAAATTGGTTAAGCGCGATTAAGTTGTCCAACCCTTGAGTTGAGTGAAGGAGTAAGTCAACCACCGATTGCCTAAACTGAGAGGGCCGAGTGACACGGCCAATAATGTTTACCTCGGTTTAGCAATTGAGATTATGGTCTATGACCACATTTGCATCCCTCTGCGGTTCGCGGTTACCAATTTGCATCTAGGTTGGTTGTGATTAAGCCGCTCAAACTCCGGTTTGAGGGAGAGACCTAGGCAACCACTAGAGACTGAGTGAGAGGATCGATCCCGTGAAAAATCGATCCCTAGCGAATCCATCCCGTGACAAATGGATCAATAGTTGCTCCTCCTAGTGGTTCCCCTAGACTTGGTGAGTGGATCGATCCTGTAACAAATCGATCGCTAGTCAATTGATTCTGTGACAGATTGATCACTAGTTGCTCACCCCTGCGGTTCACAACCACCTATGCCACACGACTTCATTCAATCCAACGAGTCATGGTACTTAGTTAGGGGGAAGCAACTCCTGGGTGAAGCTCCCTTAGTTAGAATTTTCCTTTATTTAGTTTTCTTTACTTGTTTAGTTTGTAGTTTCATTAGCTCTAAACCCAAAAGTTGTTTGCTGGATAACAACCTAAGCGATTGAAGTAGGGGTACATGGATCGGCCCGGGTTGACAATTTAAATACTTGCTTTATACTGCACCCGGCTAGAGTTTAAAAACTTGGGCTCTAGTCGGGATTAATTTGTGGTGTAGTTTCGTGCGAGTAAAGTGCATGTTTGTCAACCGGTGAGTAGCGATGGAAACAAAATCCAAATCCATGGGTACCCTATTCGACCCAAACCGGTCAACGCGGGTAAAACCCGTGTTGATGGGTTTTGGGTCGGGTTTGAGTTTAAACCCATTATACTTTAATCGGGATGGGTTAGGTTTTGGAATACCCAGCCCCTGGATACCCGCCCACACTTATTCCGACGCTTACTCTCTCCAAACCCTACCTTAATTCTAATTTCCCCCAATCTAATTTGTAATTTGTATTGATAATTTGTGATTTGTTTCAATTTTCTAGACTCTGTGTTCTATGCATGGATAATTTGTATGAAGAAATTGATGTTTGACTTTTATTTTGATTGGAACATGTTATTGTAAAATTTTTACCACAAAAACCATGGGTACCCATGAACCCGCGGATACCCAGCTGGTTAAGTCGGATTTGAGTTTTTCAAACCCATTAAGTTTTACTCCTGGTTTTTTTTTTATAGATAAACCCATGAATTTGAGTTTGATTTTGGCAAAACCCGACCCATTATCATCCCTACCTGTGACATGCCGACCAATTCAAACTGGTTATTACAAATTAGGACAAAATACGGTATGTTCATCCCAAAAGTACGTTAGAGATGAGGATATGGCCAATAATGGTAAATTAACAACAAATAGTATCGTCCAGATTCCAGAATAAGAAATAAAAAGCCCAAATTCTACTCGATACATTACCCGAACTGCATTTTACTAAACATGCTAGAAACTGCTGCTGCTTCCTCAAAGAATTAGCAAACAATGAGAGAAACAAATGGTGGTATATTACGAGGAACCATAATCATCACTTGCCCACTAAAATATATAAAAGGTGAACCAGGAGCGGGTAAATAACATGCTGTCACATTGCTAACAAAATCGCATTGCCTTGTATCAGAAGTCAAAATCATACATGTATAACACACCCTAATACTTTCTCATCCATGCAGAACATGACGTGCACCTTCTTCTCAAGTTAAAACACAAATACACAATAATAATAATACTAGACAACGGCAGCATGATAGCAGAGATGCTGCAACTGTTGACCCATCTCCCCCAGCAAGCATAAGCATCCGGTTACCAGCCACTAGTATCTTGATCTGCTCCTTCTCCTACAAATGTCAGAAAGGATTGGAATCTATCAAATGAACTGAATAAAATACAATAGATTTTGCGCGAGACAAAAGGCAGCATCTTCACCTAGGAGAGCGAGAGTAAGACCGTGACCTGGACGGAGAACGAGACCGGGAGTTCGAACGTGAGCGGGATCTCGAATGGTGCCTCCGTGAACTCCTGCTCCTGCTTCGACTTCTGCTGTGTCGGTTCCTTCGGCTGACAAGAACAACACATTGGAAAAAGAACTTGTTGCAGTAAAAAAAATACCTAGCACCGTAGGCCATTGTAAAAGGAAATTTTTTGTGGAGTGTTGGACAGGCTATGTGTGGATGGATTGTTTCCAATCTATTGTTTGCTCATATAAATTAGTTCACTTTAATATATTACCCTCGATACTCAGTCACCTTCATCAAAAAAATTATATTACCCTCGATAACAGAAGAAAAACATCAAAATGCAATCATAGTTTGATACTTGCTCATTTAACCCCGAACCCGCACACAACCCACATACAAAACGATGAACTTCAGAATATATTATTTCAGTGACCCATTCACTCCTGAAAATCGATCAATTCTAAAATTCCATTAGCCGAAGGACCAGCTAAATGGAAAGACGGATGTTTACCTTGGCAGAGAACGGCTGTGACTCCTGCTGCGGCTACATCGTCTATAACGACTAATCCGACTTGTTTCTGCTAGTTTCTCCATTCTCTGACGCTCTTGTTCTTTCTTTTTAGTCATTTCAGCAACAGTGTCCTTTTTAACTAGAGAAACATGGCATAAAATGTTATGTCAAATAAATAAATAAACACTTTACATGGGCAAAAAATAGGAATATAGTGAAATCAAGGGGGGAAATGCAGAGTATAAAGGCAGGTTAATCATCCAAATTGCATCTTATCTGGTCGGAGGCCTAATGCATGTAAGGAATTACGGAACTAGAAGATCATGGACAAGGGCATTTCAGTACATACTTTGTTTATTTAGCTGCGTGTTCATAATCCTTTTAAGCCTCTCCTGGGGAGTTTCCCTTTTCTCCCCTGGCTGCTGCTTTACAACTCCCCCAGGAACACTTGCCTTGCTTAGCTTTGATAACCCTGAGGAGCTGCTGCTGCTATATTGAAGACAATTAGGCGATTCGGTGAAAACTAAGACAACAAAAACATATTTTAAACCAAGTGCATCAAAACACCAGCAAAATCATGATCTCAACAGCAGATTGAAAAGCTCAGAAAATATTTATCTATCTAGCTGTATACATACCTTGCAGAAGGTTTCAACTCTTTTGCAGTTTTATCCTTGTCAAGAGATACACCAGATGCTGGGTCAACATGAAGTGCCTCAAGTATATGACCAGATGATGGCCTGCAGGAAAGCAGAAGCTTTAGATAAACCTAGTTCACAGCTCCCATATAACTCGGTGGTTGATCATATCAGGCAGAAGTAAATCGGAACAATGATGAGCTTCAGAAAAGGAAGCTTCTTTTCGCTCCATCCAGGCAGGTAGGCAGAAAACCCCTAGCCCTGATCTATTTTGAACAAACAAAAGTTTCCCCTGGGTACAAAGGGTAAAGCTGCAGCAGAAAAGACTGTCAAATCTATCTTTTTGCAAGAATTGAAAAGGTCGAAGTGCTCCGACCGGTTCACCAAATCAGTCCGGGATGGAGATGGTGGTGGAGAATATCCTTCAAACTTCGGCTCTTCCACAGTAATAGAGCTACCAAATTCAGTGATATACTCTATCTTAGGACTCTTAGCTTTGCTGCGATGAACGTCGTCATAGTGACCAGCACGACTGTGACGTCTAGAGTGTGATGGAGAGTATGATCTCGATCTTGATCTGCAAATATAGAACATAACAGCATGTTAGGAATCAGAATGTGACTGGAACACTTTCTAGTGGAAAAAGGATCACAAATCACTTAGAAAGAACAGGAATACCTTCTAGAACGAGAATAAGCTTCATAAGTTGGACTCCGTCTAGATTCCCTATGCAGCCAAAAAAGAACCATCACTACAAATACGAGTATACGACAAAGTGTACCTCTAAATCACAAAACGTGAAATTAACCAAGGCTAAAAAAAAGTAAGAATTAAAGCTTACCGGTAGGGATCATGACGCAGCAATCTGGTCCCAGTGATTCTAGCAGCTTCCTTCTCTTTTTCCCTCTCTACTTGAGAAGCTTTCCTTCTGTCCTTACGACTCAACTTCCTCTGGAATCACAGAAGTTGCGACCATTGGCATTAGGTCTGAGGTAAATGAAGGATGACAAGACACTACTAAAACTTACAGTTGCGGGATCGCCTTTAATAACTTCCTTCTGCCTTTTCTCCTCTTCTTTCGCCTTTTTATCCATATACACAAGCCAACCAAACCTCTTAACTCCAAATTCTTTTGCAATAACATCAATTCCTTCATCACCGCTGTCGTCACTGTTAAAGTCATCTTCTTCATCCTCATCATCTTCATCGTCGTCTTCATCATCGTCGCCATCTGATAGCTTCTCATCCTCTTTTCTGTTTCCGTCGTAAGAGAAACCCACTTGTGAATATGTACCCTTGTTGGCAGGAGGCTGTGCCTGCTGAGATTTGCTGAATTGTGGAATGAAACAGAGAGAGGACAACTGAGTCAGATAATAAGCCAAAAAGAATTGAAGAAAAAGCAGAGAGAACCCATCAATTTCAGATCGCAACAAATTTCACAATTACTACTGCTCAAACACAGAGAAAATCCACGATGCTACATGGTAAATGAAGCTAAATTCAGGCAAAGTACAGTGCAAGAGAGTGAAGCTGAGCAGTGTCATCTTTGAAAGTGCCACTCTAATTTCATTTCGCCAGAGTCGTTCCGACACGCTACGACTTTTTTCTTCAAACTCATCCTTTCCGAGAAGCATATGTGAGCTATTTAGATAGGAAGGTCATTTCCATTCATTGTGCTACAAGCCAGGGTGTAACATTCAGATACATATACAAAGCAAGGGGGGAGGGGACAAGGAGGTTTTACCATTTCATTGATGCACAAATGACAATCCAACCAAAACGGAAAATGCATGATTCATCCAATTAGTAAGTATATCATTTACTAAGCATCTACAACAAGACGCTGAACAGAGCATGCAACAACCCAAGTCGGCATAGACCTTTACTAGAGCAGAAACGAAGTTTTAAGTAACCTGTGGGAAACAAATGGAGAAATCGCTTTGGCTTCCATCTCTTGCATCACATGGCGTACACCTTCCTCATCAGTTACTGTTACAACACAGAAACCCAAGCTTGTAAAACCTAGCCCCAAGCAGTTTCACAAGAGGTAGATAGCAGCTGGTGCGGGCAACGATCAAAAGCACCATGGCTTGGAATTGGGTGCGAGAAGCAATAAAGAAAAACACGATGTCTCAGAACAATAGTAAAAAAGTACCGACATCCTCTACGCCGAAGCTTAATTAAATCCCGATAACGCTCAAAACTAACAAACTCTTCGAGTTCTTCTTCTTCTTCCGATTTCTCGGGCTGCCGGAAATTCCGAGAGCCAGCCTCCCGAATAAAATCGAGAAGCGCCCGGCCGTCGAATCTGTCAAACAGTACATCGTCCTTCCCGTTCCAAGGTATCCTGAGATCATGAGGCACAAAATTTTCCATCAATCAAGCGAAAAATAAACGAACGGGAAGTTTGGAAATTGTGGAAGGGAAAAACTTACAATCCCTGCTGATCCTCAGCGGCTTGGTAGAGGCCATCATCGCGGTACATGCGGCAGCGATTGCCCATGACCTGAATCGATTGCTGAGGATCGCCTCTCCTCTTCGCCAAATACACCGCTCGCCGCTGCGCTCGCTTCCGAGCGGCGTCCATCATGTCGTGGACCTTCCGCTCCGATCTCCTCGCCTCGTGCCACATCCTTTTTCGGGGGTGGTCGTTGCTGCACCCTCTCTTGCGTAAATTGAATCGAAAGAGAACTTGAAGCCGAAACCCTAATTTTCCTCGGATACACCAGAGACGAACTGTCAAACAGGCACTACAGTGTGTTACTGTGTTCTGTTCGTTGTCACTCTCGCGCTTGATTCTTCCAATTCGTTCTTCCTATCTGATCAAAGCTGATTCCTTTCCTCCCTTCCATTCCTCCCCGGTTGCATTGCCATCGGCGGAGCTCTCTCGGTTTGTCTCCATCCTCCTTGTTGCTAAGAAGTAAGTTGTAGGAACTAGGAAGGAAGGATCTCGTTTAGTTATAATTTAATCTTGACCGTCCACGACAGATCGCTCTTTTAGCGCCAATCAACGGCCGATAAAGGTTAGTAATGACGACGGTTTGAAATGTTGACATGAAAAAACAGAGAGAAAAAATTTCCCCTCCTCCTTTCTCTCTCGCTCTCTGCCTCTCTCGTCTCTCCTCCTCCTCCGTCTGGCCTTCGTCTGTCCGATAATGAAAAAAAGAAAGAAAGAGAAAAATTTCCTCTCCTCCTACTTCTCTTCCCCATCACTTCCCTTTGATCCTTCCACTCCGTCACTTTCACTTCAACAGATTCTTTCCCGATTCAATTCCTTCACCGTTGCTCCCAATTGCCTATCGACGGCATTCGCCAGTGCCGTTTGCCTGCGGCGGCCTGAATTTTTGCAAGCCTTTTTTCGATTTTAGCTCAACGAGGAAACTTGAGGGGATCTGCGTTCATTCCTCTTTTGGGGTTATAATTTTGTCGCCGGAAAAGAAAGACGGGGTGATTCTAGAAATCGACCGGTAAGGATCCAGCCACCGTAGAAACAGCGACATCTAATGGCGCTGTTCAGACGCTTCTCCTACCGGAAGCCACCGGATCGGCTTCTGGAGATCTCCGACAGGGTTTACGGTACCTCCTTACCCTGCGTTTCCTTTTGCTCCCAACCAAACCCGCCAGAACTTGTCTTCCTTCGTATTACAGCATTCTCTTTGTTGTTGTCGTTGATTTTGCTGATTCTTTGTTCCTGCAAATTATTCTTCCCTTTATTTTGCCGTTCTGCTTGATAGGTTTTATGATTAGGGTTTATGGAATTCTGTGGCTCAAATTTGAAGTTCCGTTTCATGTTCTAAGACAATGTGATCTGAATTTCGAACCATCTTCTTGCCTCTCTTCTTATCCTTATAGCAGCCAATGGGGTAAAGTTGGGGAATTCAGTATCTTCAGGGTTCTGAGAGCCATACACGAGCCTTATTATAACTCGATGAAGAACAGAACTGAGTCTACTTTCTTAATTTGTGGGTTGTAGAATCAAGCGAGAATTGGCATTTGAATGCTGCCGGATATTCAATGTCCTGCTATTATTAGATTGGTTGACTTATTTGTGAGAGCTTTCTTTAATTCCCAGCTTTTATTCCTTCTCTCCCCCCATTTCCTCCCTTTTGGTAGTTTTCGACTGTTGCTTCTCCACCAATGTCATGGAAGAGGATGAGTACAAGCTCTACTTAGGTGGGATTGTAGCAAAGCTGCAGGAAAACTTTCCCGATGCTTCCTTTATGGTGTTTAATTTTCGAGAGGGAGATAGACGGAGCCAACTTTCAGACATCTTAACACAGTATGACATGACAGTTATGGATTACCCTCGTCAATATGAAGGGTGTCCATTGTTGCCTCTGGAGATGGTTCATCATTTCCTTCGATCTTGTGAAAGCTGGTTGTCATTGGAGGGGCAACAAAATGTGTTATTAATGCATTGCGAAAGAGGAGGGTGGCCTGTGCTTGCTTTCATGCTTGCCGGTCTTTTGCTATATCGGGGGCAGTATAGTGGGGAGCACAAGACTCTTGAAGCAGTCTACAAGCAAGCTCCTAAGGAACTTCTACATGTTTTATCTGCTTTAAATCCATACCCTTCCCAGCTCAGATATCTTCAGTATATTTCTAGAAGGAATTTTGGGATTGATTGGCCTCCTTCTGACACACCCTTAATTCTCGACTCTTTGATGCTTAGAACCCTTCCACTCTTTGAAGGAGGAATAGGTTGCAGGCCGGTTGTGCGTGTTTATGGCCAGGATCCTTCAAAACCAGCCAATAGAACGTCTAAGCTTTTGTATTCAACTTCGAGGACGGAAATACACATACGCCACTATGCACAGGTATTATGCCCTGTCATCAAATTAAATTTTGAAAGATGAATATGTAAACGTCAAAGAGTTGATTATATAATGAATTTCAACGGCAGGAAGACAGTATGCTTGTGAAAATAGATCTTAGATGCCGTGTACAAGGTGATGTTGTTGTTGAGTGTATCCACTTGGAGGAAGACCTCGTGCACGAGCAGATGATCTTCAGACTGATGTTCCACACAGCATTTGTGCGAGCAAATATTTTGATCTTGAACCGTGATGACATTGATATTTTGTGGGATGCCAAGGATCAATTTTCACGGGACTTCAAAGCAGAGGTATGTTACTGCTATCTTTCTCTGAGACATGTAATTTTAGTGGCTATGGGAGTTTGAATACAAACTTTTCTTTGTATCAGGTACATTTTGCAGATGCAGACACTGTTCTCCCATCTCTCACAACAGTTTTGACTGGTGACGATCTGAATGATTTAGAAAGTGCTTCACCTGAAGAATTTTATGACGTGGAAGAGATCTTCACAGTAGAGGTGCCAGAATCAAAAGGGAACTTTGATACTCATATAACCCGGGAGGCATCACCTCCTGGTCTCTCCTGGGGGTCTACTTCTGCACCACCATCGTCACAACCTCCACCACCTCCTCCTCCCCAAGTCGCTTCTCAAGGTTCTTTGTCTTCAACATTGCTGCCCCCTCCAGCTCCAGCGCCACCGCCACCTCCCTTTAGTCAGTTGCAGAATGTTGCTCGTTGCAGTCCTCCACCACCACCTCCACCACAACTTCCCTTTATTCATTTGCAAGATGTTTATTGCATCCCATTGCCGCCACCGCCTATGGCCATGAGAAGTCAAGGTTCTCCACTTGCATCACCATCATTTTCAAGAAGTGAACCTCCACCTCCGCCGCCACTGCCATCTACTAGATTGGGAGCTCCTACACCACCTCCTCCCCCACCACCATTAGTTAGGGGGGCTTTTCTACCATCCCCTCATCCTCCTCCATCAGTCAGTGGGGCTCCTCCACATCCACCACCACCTTTGCTTAGAGCCCCAGCACCACCTCCACCTCCTCCTCCTCTTCTAGGGGGTCGAGGGCCTCCTCCACCCACTCCTCGTGGAGGAAGTATTCCAGGTCCTCCGGGAGTTGGGTCGCCCCCACCACCACCCTTAGGTGCCAAAAGAGTTGCTGCTGATGCAAGAGGTAGAGGACGAGGGAGTGGAATGGGTGCTGCTATGGCAACTCGAAGATCTTCATTGAAGCCATTGCATTGGAGCAAGGTAACAAGGGCAATAAAAGGAAGTTTGTGGGAACAACTACAAAAGGAAGGGAGAGCCCTAGACCTGGAAAATTACAACCCGACCCGTTGATCCGACTCGAGACTGCTCGAAAAGTAGAAATTTTTATAACCCGAAATCCAAATGACCCGAGCCCGATACACGTGATATTTTGGGTCAGGTTGGGTGGGTTAGGATAATCAAATATTATGTGTTTCTTGTAGTAGTATTACTCTTGTGATTGTTTTTTGATGATTAGCACAATTTGTAATTTGTATTTCATTTCGTTAGCATGAGAGGATGTGAGAATATGTTAATTGACATGTGTTAGGTAAACTATTCTCATGCATATGTATAAATTTGTATTCTTTAAGAAAATATGAAGCATGTTTGATATTGTTTCTTAGAGCGCTCATAACTTGAAATGACTTGTAACTCGACTCGAAACCGAATGGATTGACTCAATATTTAACCCGAAATCAACCAATCAAGCATGACTCGGTCCGTAACCAGAGTCCCCAACCCGACTCGATTGCCAGGTCTAGGGAGTCCCAAATGTACAGTAATCCCTGAGCATTAAATTGTCTTAGCTCAATGGCAGAGCAGTCAGCTACTCAGTCACTTGCACAGGACAGAAGACTTGTATAAGTTCGACTCTTACCGGGGAAGGAAGAAATTGGCTTTCTAAAGTAGCAACACCCGGGAGTTGTTCAACCAGCAGAAGGCGCGGCCAATAACAACAATGTACCAAATCCTTAATCAGTACTGAACTGCTAGTTAACACACTACTAAAGCAGAGTAGCCAGCACGCGCGTGATTTGCCTTTTGGAATATATAGCATGCCCACAAATTTATGTTCCTGAAAAGATTGCTTACTATCATATATCGCTCTCTGGGATTGATGACCTTGCATCATGGTGTAATAGTGCACCAGAATTTGATGTGTCAGAGATAGAGATCCTTCTCCAGTAAAGGTGGAAAAAAGAAGTCTGCTGGATCAAAACCTGACAAAGTTAACATGGTAAGAGAATTCCATCTTAAAATACCCCAATGGTATTCTATTGCAACTGAGAAAAGAAGAACAAATTGAGCTAACCGTTTATCGAACTCCCTCCCAAACAATCATACTTCCACCACCTTAAGAATTGGACTACAATTATTCCCATAGTCAACAATTTTCTAAACCCCCCAGACCTAGAGCTAGGAAATAGATATATGTGGTATGTTGCACAATCGGAATCGAAGACATAACGGAAGTCATGAAAAAAAGACAATTTGGATTATGAAGTTCACGAACATAATGACCCTCTTTGCCCGACTATTCCAATTAAAGCTATGGGAAATCTCAGGTTCTGCAGGAAGTGGCGCTCAATGCTGATTGTCAAGGTATTGGGAAGAACTTTCCCGTATCCAGTTCCAGCGCGTCGCTTGGAATCTCTCTGTGCCAAGGATGAAACTCTCCAAATCAATAGTATTTTTGTAGGTATTTTATGTAGTTTGTTTCACTCACCAACTAGTCTACGAGAAAGCAGCTGCGGGAGGGCTTGGGATAAT